TGAATGTATGGGATCAAAATCTAATATATTACTCCTTAAACTATCAGCACCTTGTGAAGCCTACAGGTAAGTAGTGAGAATAAAGAAGATATTGTATCAGACCAGTGATGTTATACTGCAAATCAGGTAGCATTTCATTGAAGCATGCATGCTCTCTCTGTCTTTTGTCACTTGAGTGATTAGCTTGTGAGTGAACATTCTCCTGACAAAATCAACACTCGAATAAGATTAAATTTGGTTAAACATTTAATAAGCAAAAGAAGTTTTACACAACGTTTCAATGACTCCATGTCACTCACAATCAGACTCCCTCCCACACAGACATCCTTTGAGCTTGTCGCTTTCATTTGAGGAGGAACTTGTGGTGAGCCAAAAGGACATCTGCATGTACATGTACTTTAGGAGACTAAGAAAAAAAATAAATAAAATTGTCAATTTGAGGACTAACCAAGCTCAGATATGGAAGGGCTTGACAGCGAGTTAGGAACACCCATAAAGAGATAACATTTACATCCAAAGGGACAAAGATGGCGTTTTTTTCCCCTTCAATTTATGGCCCGTGCGCGAAATGCATGGGCCATAAATCAAAGGGATCCGTAACTTACAATACGGACTGAGAAGACGAGGTTAGTAAGATATTTTATTATTACATCTCTACTATGTGTCTGGGGTTTGGGAACGATTCCTATTCACGCGGAACGGCTTCAGATTTTTGGCGCACGTCGAAAGCAAAACGAGTCAATTTTGTTAAGTCCTTAGCTAGTTTTAATAGTCAATTTAATGTGAAAGAAATTTTTTACTTTGACTAGCTATAAAAGTTAAGAACACTTGGCGATAAATCACNACATTACAGCACCAGCCCCACCCAGGAAGACCAGAGGAGAACTGTACAAGGATGTTGACGCAGACTACTATGGCTACAGAGATGAAGATGATGGAGTGTTGGTTCCATTAGAACAAGACATCGAAAAGGAAGGTGCGTCATTAACCCATGGTTATTCCCTGAATGTATGGGATCAAAATCTAATATATTACTCCTTAAACTATCAGCACCTTGTGAAGCCTACAGGTAAGTAGTGAGAATAAAGAAGATATTGTATCAGACCAGTGATGTTATACTGCAAATCAGGTAGCATTTCATTGAAGCATGCATGCTCTCTCTGTCTTTTGTCACTTGAGTGATTAGCTTGTGAGTGAACATTCTCCTGACAAAATCAACACTCGAATAAGATTAAATTTGGTTAAACATTTAATAAGCAAAAGAAGTTTTACACAACGTTTCAATGACTCCATGTCACTCACAATCAGACTCCCTCCCACACAGACATCCTTTGAGCTTGTCGCTTTCATTTGGGGAGGAACTTGTGGTGAGCCAAAAGGACATCTGCATGCACATGTACTTTAGGAGACTAAGAAAAAAAAAAAAAGAAAATTGTCAATTTGGGGTCTAACCAAGCTCAGAAATGAAAGGGCTTGACAGGGAGTTAGGAACACCCATAAAGAGATAACATTTACATCCAAAGGGACAAAGATGGCATTTTTTCCCCTTCAATTTATGGCCCGTGCGCGAAATGCGCGGGCCATAAATCAAAGGGATCCGTAACTTACAGTACGGACTAAGAAGACGAGGTTAGTAAGATATTTTATTATTATATCTCTACTATGTATCTGGGGTTTGGGAACGATTCCTATTCACGCGGAACGGCTTCAGATTTTTGGCGCACATCGAAAGCAAAACGAGTCAATTTTGTTAAGTCCTTAGCTAGTTTTAATAGACAATTTAATGTGAAAGAAATTTTTTACTTTGACTAGCTATAAAAGTTAAGAACACTTGGCGATAAATCACAAAACATTTTGGCAGTAAAAATGGCTTTAAACTTTAGTGGGCCGTACAGTTGAAGACGGCCCGCTAAACTGACCAATCAGAGCGCGTGTAGTAACTGAGAGATATAATAAGACGGGTCTACCTTGATATGTTAGGGCTACTTGTAGTTTTCTCATTATGTACCTTTTGTGGCCTGGCCCCTTTAATTGCTAAAACCCATTTTCATTCTTGCTTTTCTGTCTTCTAAAAGCTATCGCCAGAGCAATGGAAGAATGGGAAAGACGGAAAGAAGAAGGAGAGTTGGGAAGCGAACAGGAACAAGAAGAGGAGAATATTTATGCTGTCAGTAAAGACCAAGAGGTGTGAATTATTGTTAGATTACATTGGAGGAACTTCAAGATAGAGCAAATTAAAGTAAATTACCAGATAAGTGTGCAAGAGGAAAAAAATTTCCTTCTAAACAGCGATCTTTGATGGCGTAAAAAAAGTAACTTGGGACGATTCCAAACGTCGCGCTATTGCCGTGCCGAGCTGAATTCAAGAATTAAATTTCCCAGTATTGCATTGCGCGTCCTTACTGGGCATAGTTTCACGCGTGATTAGCGCGCGCATTGAAAAATGGCGGCTTTTTCTTTGCGGCTGGACCTTGCCATAGAAGTAAATCGTTATTTTATCGAAAACAAGTACCGTGACCTATCAGTTTTTTCTGTTGTTTTGAATTGAGTAATAAATTTCTCTATGTAAAATAAATATGGGCCAATTCTCAGTGTTGAGCAAGAACAATCGTCGGGAACGTGAATTTAGCAAGCAATCGTGACTATAAGCATGGTGTTATTATAAGGATTTATATGGTATAAACAAGGTGCTGTTTCTCCTAAACGAACATGGGGACCCCTCATTTTTATTTCCAAATTTAAGCTCCTGCAATATACACAATCAGTGGGCAAAGTTTGACAAAGATCTCGGTGCAGGTTCGATTTCAGTGGAATGACCTTAAGCACGGCAGTAGCACGGCGTTTGAAACCACTCAGTTTGCAAGGCTGAATTAACTTCGGAACGACTACTTAGCACGGCAGGCTTTGCAGAGCCAGGCGGCAGTAGAGCGACTTGGCCTCAAACGGCGTGTTCTTGCCGTGCCCAACTGAATTCATAGCTTGCTGCAACAGCTGCCGTTGCTTTCCAGGCGTAGTCCTTAAATTGGTCTTCAGCAAAGTAACCACTGCCGTTCTTTTGCATGTCACTGCTAAGCCAAATTCATTTGAGTTTGGCAAGGCAGTAGCACGACGTTTGGACTAGGCCGTGCACTCTTCCAGTGAGGTTAAACAATCACCCGTTATTTAGTTAATCACGCAACGCAGTTTCTCTGACTCATCCGTGACAAACCAAACAACGGTTTTCATGGAGACTTATGGTCTGTAAAATGATGAAAAAAACCCTACCCTGTTGAGAGACTCGTACTTGGCTTAATATTGCTTTATAGATAGACGCGTACCCGTATTTTTTTGAGCAACGCCAGCTGGGGAATGGGGAGGTCTAACTTGTGGTGCACTAGTAAATCTTCTTGCCTCTTCATGCGGCAGAAAATTGTGATAACACCAAAAAATTTTAAATGTTGCCTAACGTTCCCTTCATATATGTTTGTTTTTATTACATAGGATAGTGATGAGGAAATGGAAACCGACCAAAATGCAGAGGGAAATCAACCATTCGTAGCTCATGTACCTGTACCATCACAAAAAGAGGTGTGTTCAGAAGGGGTTGTGTTTCTTTTCACAACGTACGAAAATAGCTGTAGGAACAAGGGTCGCTTTTTGGTCGTACAAGAATTCGTATAAGAAGGCCTCCGGTTAAGGGTTTCTTGGCCAATCAGAAATGGCATGAGCAATCACGTGATACATGTTTATTATGTTGCTGGCCAACAACTGTGCCTCTACTCACTATGGCCTGCGTAACGAGTGTAGGAGGAGAGGAAACTCTTTTGGGTTGACATGATTACGGAAAAGGCAGTAGTTTGCGATGTGGCCCAAATTTGTATAAAGCAAAAGTTACGTGTAAACTGACGTCAAACTCTCGTCACTTTCTCAGCTAGGTGTAGCTAAGCACATTGACGACTATGAACAACATTTGAACATTTTTTTGAACATAAGAAGTTTCATTCTTGATTTTGTTTTTGTTTTTTTGCTAAAGCTTTCTGATTAACGTCTCCAAAGATAAGGCAATGCTTTACAAGAAGTGTTTACAGTCTGTTTTTCTTTTGGTTAATTAAATTGTTTCTTATGTTCTGTTGCATTCCCAGGTTGAGGAAATGCTTGTTCAGAGAAAGAAAATGGTATGGCACCAAGAAAATTGCAGTATTTAATGAATTATTTTCATGTTTATACTTTCTGTTGACCAGCTTGTAACGTTGACTTTGCAGGAATTACTCGAAAAGTATGCCAGCGATACTCTAATACAACAAAGCCAAGAAGCCAAAACTCTCCTCGGTCTTTAGCAGCGTGCATACCCACATACCTGTAAATACTGCACGCCATATCGCTCCCATCCAAGCCCAGGTCTTTTCTGTGAAAGCTGAATTCAAGATGGCGTTTCAAGTTACGTCAAACGACGTTACCATGGTCACGGATAACAGATGGACATACGCACGGTGGCAACCTCGTTCCTAGGATGTTTTTTTACTCTTACGGAAGCGAGGCCGTTCGGAATATGAAGTAGAAAGTGTTACTGAAAACTGAGTTTCCAGATGGCAAATTATGGAGAGTGTAAAATGTGGTCTTTCTATCTAGCTGTGATGTCCCACATTTCTTCACTGTTTAGAATACTTGAACTCTAACGTACTGGAAATACTGATCTTCTTTTGTCGCTGAACCCCAACCAAGTCCAAGCAATTAAGCTGCCCTGAGGAGTTTTCATCCTTTGTATAATAAACGAAAGCGGAGAGTTTAACCGTCTTGTTTTTTCCCAAAAGAGCTCCGCAAACAAAATCAAAGAGTGTATACTTGATCTAGCAACAGATCATCTTAAACGACATAATTTGATCGAAAATTGTTAACCTTGTAAATAACGTACAGATGAGAAACTTTTATAATGTGCGAAGTTGTTTATTTGTTATAATACACTCTTCTACTGAGGCAGTGGCTCGCACAAACACTGCCGTAGCTAAATCACACTTATCAACTTTTCTAGAAGAGTCACTGTAAAATGCTGTTTAGTGCATGTTTATTGGTTTATGATTTGCCCAACCTAAATGTAAACAATGAAGAGGCATTTCTGAGCAAGGTGCCAAAATCTAATAGGGTCCTAATAGTTACACCCTCTGAACCTCTGGACAAAATGCGCAACGATATCTGCAGTGTCCGAGGAGGTTATGAGAATATGCCATTCTTAAAGTTAAACACCTTGTCACAATTCTACTTGTAGCCTCCTGAGGTCGCTGAGGGTCTGCCGTCTTGTTGAGGTTAACTGAGGTCGCAATTCCTTGTTGGCTAACTAAAAGGATCGCGGCATATGGGTAGGACAGAAAACGAGCTTTATAGTGACTGTAATCTTTTCTTTACAAAATGTTACACCCGCTCACGAGAGAAAAAGTTTGAAAATATATCTATTCTTTGAGAGTAGACTCAACCCGTTTAAAACTGGTTAACTCATTTGTTTGCTGCTGATGGACAGACTACTTGCCTGTCTTGTCATGACCCCTAGTCACGCGCAAATGGGGACAGAGGAGTCTAATTTGATCGTAATTCTAGCTAAATTCACTGTACAATTACAACGTGAAATCAATCTTGTTGATTCACATAATTGTACGTGATCAATCTAAGCGTCATGTGATCGTGTCAATCATGTTACGCGTCTTGAAATTCTGTGCACATGAGCCCTGACGAGCCGAAAATGTCAGAAAATGGAACTCCGTGGCGAAGAATGATCATGAACGAGGCACGAATTCCTAAGAACAAACAAAAGAGAAGTTTAATTTTTTACAAACATTTAGATTTGGTTTGTCGCTTTATTGCTTGCCCTAGCATCAGTAGTAAAGCTACAACAACAAAATGTAGGCATTTTACCTTCAGTCCGTTAATCCAAAAGTCCGATCCGGGTGATTGCGAACCGCGCAAATTTTCTCGAATTAACTCCTGGGAGTCTGGACACTAGCAAGATATGTAAATTCCAAGGTTTGTTGGTAGATAGATGGGTTTGTTCCTGTAGTAGTCGTTCAAAAGCAGTCTTCTGCAGTTCGTCGTTTTCATGTGATGAAATCAGCCGACCTGGATGACTCATTCGACTACCTCTTTAAAATAGTTTTAATCGGCGATCCAGGAGTCGGGAAGACATGCATTGTGCAACGTTTCAAGAAGGGAACGTTCGTCGAGCGGCATGGCAGCACGATCGGCGTAGATTTTACGATGAAAACGCTGGTAGTCGACTCGAAAAAAGTCAAGGTGGGTACAGTGTTGTGCAAGATAAAAATTGCAGTTGTCGTTGTTCGAGTAACTCCAAGAGCCAGAAAAAAAAAAAAAAACAGTAGGTTTGGCGTGTACATTAGCATATTTTATTCATGATTGTTATGTAGCAGTGTTGCGTACTGTACGAAGACTTAGCTTGTTGGCTTTCTTTGAGATAATGTAACGTCGATTGGCTTTCCAAGAAGGATAAGCTTGCTTGATTGTTTGGTGTAACACTCGCCTTTCTTCCTTCTAAAGCCTCTTTATTTAAGTTTTAGGTATTGAAAATATTAAGTTAAGTTTAATTAAATCTGTGCGTTTCACACCGACAAATTTCGCACAAAACCTTTAGCTTAGTGCTGTTTAACGTTAAGTTAATTTATATTAAGCTAAAGCTTATAGTTATTTTAGTCAGTTGATCGAATGAACTTTGAAATGCGCACGTTTAAAGCGGTTTGCATCGTTAAGTAACATGAATGTTTGTCTAAATTTAGGAAAGTTTATTTTCATGCACGGTGAATTCACCTAAGCCCGTGTTCAGTTCTTTTTTTGTTTACTTATTTTTTTAATTGGAAAATGACAATTGTCGAATGTACACTGCAGATTAAAAAAAAATAAAGATGAACGTGATATGTTGGTTCTTGTATACCGACGCTCTATGGAGGTAATTACATAACACTCATGCAGTAAATAGAAGCCTTATTTATCTATTAGGTTTCATACATGTAAAATGTTATTTTGCCTATTCGTGAAGTGCAGTCATATTTTGTTTCCATACAATGTTTGTACTGCATGCATGCATTATCCAGAGCTCAAAATAAAATGTACTTACATGTATTTAATACCTCTGAACTGTAAATTAATAACTTAAGATAAGAAAGCCAATATATTTAAGCTTATACTTGCCTCTACACAACAGATACATGTTGCACATTTCAAGCAATTATGCTAAGTGGAACATTGTGAATGTCAGCTTCCTTCTCTGGTTGCTAAGTGACATATTTACTGGAATAATGGCAGCATTTTTTGGCAACCATAGCTCCAGAGATGACTGAAAGAGACCAGGTGTGGCTAAAATACAGGAATCTATCCATGCAGACAGAGATTTTTTCTAACAAAGTGAAAAAGAAAAAAAACACTAGGGGTGTAAAAGCACTTGACCAGTGTCGAACCCGGAACAGTAAAGTCAGAAGCAATACTCTGGAAATTTTAAAGTGGAAAGTGGAAGTGGAAATTTTAAAGTGCTCATGACAGATATTTTTTTATTTGCTTGATGGAATCTACATGAGATCAAGATATATGGAGATAAAAAAAGATCGCTGGTTATCTCTGTTTTTTTACTACATTTTAGCCTTGTGAAACATGAAATTTCACTTCCGGTTCGGGCCAAAACCACAGGGGGTTAGGACTTGGGACTAGTCAGGTTGTGACATCAAAACAAGAATGTGCTCAGGAGCAAAAATGTCACAAAACGTGACGTTCGTGGAAAGAATTAGTCAATGCTGTCATGTTCCAGATATCTTTTTGAGTAGATTGGAGCTAGTAAGGGCACTAATTTGGCTTATATCCAGGCTGAAAATGTCTAAAATTTCCAAACATGCATTTTTATCTGTACTAAAATCATGCACATCAAAACAGTAGTTTGTAAGAAAAAAATAAAAGTAAAAATATTGCATATTTAGACCACACAGTTTTGCTAGTTTATTTGCAGAGCGAGCTCAAGCCCAACACAAACAAAAATTGGAATTTTATGCTCCCATATTGAAACAACTCACACAGTCATATTTTTTGATTCATTAACAGTTTGTTTTGTGGTAGAAAATTACCACCAAACTAGGTATATTCACATAAAATGCTTCTTGAAAACAAGGTCACATAATATGTCACTGAGAATCAAGGAAATTTTCGTTAAATGTGCTGCGACCAATTCTTCAAAATCTTCTTACAGAGTATGTCCTCAGCCCTCCCCCTCTTTACTTGAGAGTTCTATAGTTATATTATTTTGTTTTATATCAACCATGGCATGTTGGATTGCAGTGCATCTCTCTTCCCAGGTGTATAAATGGGTACAGTTGAATTTAGTGTTGGGGGTAACGCTGCGATGGACTGGCATCCCATCCAGGGGGGAGTAGAAATACTCCTAGTCGTTTCACGCTACTGAAACTGGAGATAAGTGCTAGCCTGATGGGCCTCTTGGCTCATATACACTCGGAGGGGCCTGTCAAGAAGGAAGGGCACGTTTAGGGAAACTGATTCATTAAGGACAAATTCATTGTTGACAGATCAAATCAAGTGCCAACATGCTCTTGTTTAATAATACAATACATGATTGCATGCTTTGCCTTTTCACGCAGTTCCACACTTAACCTAGTACATACTACGTGTGAACTTTTAATTATTACTTTATAATATTCTAGTTGCAAGTATGGGATACAGCTGGACAAGAAAGGTTTAGGACTATCACTCAAAGCTACTACAGAAGTGCCAATGCTGTCATCATAACATATGACATTACAAAGAAGGACACCTTTAAAAATGTTGTACGATGGACAGAAGATGTAAAAAAATATGCTCCCCCTAATGTCATCAAATTACTTGTTGGAAACAAGACTGATATTGCTGAAGACCGCGAGGTCAGCATTGAGGAGGCGAGCTCTTGTGCTGCACATTACAGTATGGTTGATGCATTGGAAGCTTCAGCTAAGGTGAGAATTTGAATATATCAAACATGAAAGACCATGTTTGACCACATTTCAAAACACCGAGTTAAAAGAGAGTTGCACAACTCACAGCAGAATATTTTTGACAAACTTTAAGGTCTTGAGTGTTGGATATTAATATCTTCTCAATCAAAACTAAAATGGAGAAAACAAATCATAAAAATCTATGCTAAGTACTGTAATTAACATCAGATATCCAAATACTCTTACGGCAGCCATGATTTCCTTTCTTTAAATTTGATGAATTATTAAATAAATGCATTTGAACTTTTTAAAAGGATTCTTGTATTGTTTTGGGGCTCAAGAAATGATTATAAATATATATATTTTGCACGCATTCTGTGCCTATTAGGAGAATTGCTTGATAATTTTGTCAGCAAACAAAATTAATGCTGAATGTTACCATCACATAATTTTATGGGCTTTCTAATACGTTCACTGGTTTACTTTCTTTTTTTGGTCAGGATGCAACAAACATAGAAAATGCATTCATGCGTGTGGCCAGAGAATTGAAAAGCCGCTACGAAAATGGGTCTCATCTGCAGGCAAGCATTATGGAGGGAGATGTAATTTTAGAATCAAAAAGCATACATACTAGGTGGTGTTGTGGTTAGACAAGGTCCAAAGTTGCACAGAATGGAACATTTTAACATCAGGAATCAAAAGTCCTGGAACATTTTACATAAATGAATGTTTGGATGTAACCTAACCCACATGTAGCACATGTAGGGCATGTATATGTTAGCATTTGTCCAACTTTTATAGTGGGCTTTTATGGGTTACAATCTTGCAAATGTCTTATAATTGTTCGCAGACATCCTTTCTTTGGGGACAAGTTTCTGTCTGCATGATATACAGTAGAAGGTAGTGAGTTCTAGAGAGGTAGCATTGGAAAAGAGCATTCATTGGGGCATTCAGTGATACGGCAACAAGTCACTTTTTCGGTGTTAAGTTTGCTTCTTTACTGAGACAAAATTATTCAAGGGTTTCATTAAGGGCAGGGCACCAGACAAATTGACCGGGTGTCAGGATGATTTGGATCATGTGTAATACACACAGTCAAGTGTCGATTGATTGCCTGCCTGGTTTGACCATCTAGGGAATGTTTTTTATTAAAGAAGTTCAGTTCAAACAGTTAAATTGCCCGCCTGTGAAAACCAGTTGCCCTCCTGCTAAAAACATTAATGAAACCCCTGAATTCATTTGGTGTTGGCTTTTTGGATTTATTTTATGCTACACTAGTGGAAGTTGCTAATGTTTTGTTGTGTGTCGAAGGTCAAGGGCAAAATGACTTCTTGTCGACTTAAAAGTTTTGCATGTTTTCTCCATATTTTTGAAAACATATGGGGCAATGTAATTTTAAGGCATTAATAGGCCCTTTGCAGCTAAGCCATCATGTGACCTATTTTTCATAAAATTATGGGCTATAACTCAACAAATGCCAGAAATGGAAAAAGCATGTCAAAAATATCAAAATGGTCAAGTTTGAGGCCCCCATCATTAAAGAATGAGATTTTATGACAGTCTGAGTTTTTAAAAGAATAAGATTTGTTTGGAAAAAGTTGTTGGAGAGCAAGGTCTTGCTCTCCAGCAACATTTTCCATACAAATCCTCTAAATTTTCCTAAAATTCAAACAGCCGTATAAACTCATTCTTTAATGCCAGAGACCTCAAACTTGGCCATTTTGGTATTTTCGATGCACTTTTTCCATTTCTGGCATTCCTCAAGTTATAGCCCATAATATAAAAATTTTCTAGGAAAAATTTGGTCACATAACCCCAGCTGCAAAGGGCCTATTGCTTGAGTGGAAAACAGATTGACTGCCCTGTTATCAATAATTAACAATTAGATTAAGAGCTCGAGATTTCTATGAGGTGATAGTTGATGAGGCCGAAGGAGGGCGAAGGCTGACTCAACTCGCCTTATAGAAATCGAGAGAGAATAATCTAATTGTTTTAGTAGAATTCTAACAAATTAACGCAAATAATGGTTTCCAAATATTTCGCGACGCATTATTGAACTTAACGCTTTAACAAAATCGCACATATTGAATTGTCCTTGGTAAATTTGCAGTTGTTTACACATGTGCAACAGTTTTTCAATAATTTCAAGTTTTTAAAGTCAAGAATCCGTTTATGTCCTTCTTTTAGTCTCCTCAGGAATTTAATTATCCATTTACGTCTAAACTTTGTTCCAAAACTTCGGGAAAACGATAAAAACATCGCATTTCGTGGACAACCGACAGCTACTGCACTCTAATGGCTGATAGTATATGAGTAGCTCAGCCAATCAGATTGCAGCCTTTGCATTAGTATACTAGTATAATTCTACTAATAATTACTATTCATCATACATTAAGCTTACTTATAGTATGTACCAGTAATACATACATACTTTCTATTTAATGGTCACCTTCCTTTCATTGAAAGAATCAAGTTTTAAAATTTTAACCAATTTGTTCTTGTAGTTCAGCTATTCATCTACATGGATCAAAATCTGTCCGACTGTATTTATGTAGACTTACTGAAAGCAAATCCAAGACCATTAGATATGGAGAAAACAGTGAAAATTGAAGCTTTTAGACTTTGGGTTTTGCATTTTTAAAATATAAAGTATGTCTATTACAATAATTATTTATTTGTTATTTGTAAGCTACCCCTTGTTGCTTTTAAAAGTGTGTACAAACCATGAAGCTTATGTCAAGTGCTCATGACATGACATGACATCATCAGCTGTTTATGTGGGCCATACATGAACTATTTGATTGTTTTGGGGAATTCAGAAGCTCTTAAAATTTAAAAAAGGCTTGCCTGTACTTTATTCTGTTTTAAATCACTCAGGGAAGAGATGAGAGCATGAGAGAAGTGTCGCCTGGACAAAACACATGCTTAACGTTTGTCAGTGTTTCACTTTACACTTCTTTCTTCTTAGAGTGATTTATAACAGAACAAAAAGCATGGTCAAGCCTTTCTAATTTGTTGCAAAATAGTCTGCATGAAGGCTTATTTGCCATTGTTTGTAGCCTGCGTGGCGGGCTTACAAAGGGGAGACAAGGAGGGGAGCACATTTCTAGTCTTCCCCTCTCCTTCCCCTGTGAATGCACGCCATGCAGGCTACATTGTTTACAATGTTGTAGTTAAGATCAAGTTGCAGTAACTGGTTTACTGTTAGAATTTTACCATTAATGATTTCTAAAATAATTTTTGAAAAATAAAATTGTTATTTATTTAAAATGGCATTTGATAAATTGCCATATTGGGTTTGCCATTGTGTGATTTCTGCCAGCTGGTACTGTTAATATTTTGTATTCTTGAACTGTATGACTGGTGATAGATTTTAAAGAAGAGTAGATTATTAAATGACAGTAATACCACAGGCGGTCCAAGCTCTCAATATTATCCTTTTTTTTTCCCCTTTTTATGGGAACGTTCAGGCTAACGTGACATATGGCATGTACTATTACATAACGACCGAATTTGACCACGCGAAACACGACTCTCGCCTTGCAGCATATGGAG